TCAACATGGGGCACAACTTGGTAATTCTCCATATCCTGGCTTTCTTCTACCTTCAAGTCCCATCTAAAATCCTCCCTACTACAGGAAGCCTGCATTCTGGTGCCTTCCCTCTGTTGACCGTCTTCACTTATCCTATATACAGATTGTTTGTACATAGTTATTCACATGCTGTCTCCTCCTTGAGATCGTGAGCTTCTTGAGGGCAGGAGCTGTCTTTTATTTTTCTTAATATCTCCAGCTCTGATAGAGAGTAAGTTCTTAAGAAGTATTTACTTTAGGATGATCAGGCAGCATAGAACGCACTGCCAACTTTATACTCAAAAGAAGATCTGAGAAGATTTGCCGGATCGAAGGCAAAGGCCAGAGTCAGCTCCATAAGACATTACACAAGAATCTGAATGGAGATGGAGTCAAATGTTACCGTAGTATGTGGCCATCTATCACTCATCATAAATATACCAGCTCGCAGAACTGTTATCAGGAAGACTCTTTGCAAACCACACTGCAGAAATGAAGCACTACACACAGAGAACTGAGGCCCTCTCAGGGCACAGGTGTGTCAGGGCCTTTTACTCCAAACTACTTCAGTACCTTCAGTTCAAGTTCCACATTGCTGAGCGTATGTGGCACAATGGCCACAAGCCTGGCCAGGAAAAAGAGGAAATTCTTCCAGTACCAGGAGCAATGCAAGTACCACATCCTGAATGCTGAGGGAAAATGTGGCTGTCACCTCTAAATGGCATCTAAGCCATTAGGTTTTAACATTTTCCTTAGGCACGAACAAGTTGCCACTTAAATCCTTTCAAAGTACCACCGCCTTGCTCCTCACTACTTCTTACTGGCTTTGGAAGATGTTCTAAGGTCAATCAGCAGATAGACAAAAGGCAAGAGGCTTGGATATTCAATAAATGAGGCCCCATAGCTTAATGGGAGGAAGGTGAAAAAATTCAACCCAGAAAAGGCTGTTTCAGTCACTGCTTCTTCAGATACATATCTTAATTAAAAAAAAAAAAAAAAAGAAAGAAAGCTGAATTTGTAGACAGAGAACCTAAGGAAAAATACAAGCTTGGCAATTATTACTTCTCTGGGTCTTAGTTTTCTTATTTATAAAATGAAGAAGTTGGTCTAGATAGCCTCTCAGCTCCTTTCCAGCTATAAATCTATTCTTCTGTAATCCTTGTTGTCCAGAGATTCTATAAGATCCAATGAGAACAAGCAGCAACACAAGCTCACTGAACACAGTTATGTTTTGGGTAGGCTACTATATTATGGGGCGACAAAGTGCAGGACCCTGGAGGAGATAAAGTTTAAAGAAAACACAGTCACTGCCTTCATGGAGCTTATAGTATAGAAAGGAGAAAAATACCATCATCACAGAAATATGTAATACAAACACGCAGTGCATTAGATAGATGCTAAAACCAAATGTTATCAAGATCTAAAAGGAAGAGCTTTTCTAACCTTGAGGAATTAAAGGAGGATTTCTGAAAGAAGCAATACTATATTTAAGTGAATTCAGCACTGCTGAAATGGCAGAACCTGATGAATAGTTATGAAGGGTTTGAAAACAGTATTTTTATTCATTATTTAAATAACTCAGATGCTGTCTACCACTATCTCCTTCACCTGTCTCACATGAAGATGGCCCTTCTCCCTGACAAAGTAAATCCTTCTGCATTCATAAGTGATCCCATTCCATTCTGTCTTCTCCAGAAGACTGTCCCTTCTATCATTCCTTATTCTTTCAATAATTTTTGATCTCTCCGTGTCTACTGACTGTTTCTCTACTGCCTACAAAGATGCCCAGATCTGCCCTACCATCAAAAATCTCTCTTGATCTGTCCACCTCCACTAACTATCATCCTATATCTCTGCTCCCTTCCATGGCTAAACTCCATGAGAAGGGCATCCACAAAAAGGGCCTCTGCTTTCCTCTCACTGTCTTCTTAATTCTTTAGTCTAGCTTCCAATCTCCTCACTCAAATGAAACAGACTTCCCTGCTGCCAAATCTAATGGCCTTCTCTCGCCTTTGACATTTCACTTCTCTCCAGGCTTTCATGCTAATATTTTCCTGGTCATCCTCCTACCTGTCTGACTATTGCTCCTCAATCTCCTTTACTGTATTATCATTCAGGTTGCTCCTGCTAACCATGAGTATCTTTCCCTTTCTTGAGTCTTCTTCTCCTTTTCCACTATTTTGCTGGGTAATTTCACCAGCTCCCATTATCTCCATGCTGATGATTCTTAGGTCTATTTTTCTAGCCCTAACCTTTCTGATAACCTCTGGTCTCCCATCTCCAACCACCTTTTTGGATATCTCAAACTGGATAGCCTGTATTCATATTATATTTCCCCAAAAAACTTCACTTCTTTCTAATTTTTCTGTTGAGGGGAATCGTCATCTTCCCAGTCACCCAGGGTTGACAAACTAGGTGTTATCCTCATGCTCTTACCCCTTTAACCAATAAGTTACCAAGTCCTGTCAATTCTACCATTCGTTGTACATCTCTCATAAATGTTCCTTTCTCTCTACTCACATACAACAGTCCCTCATCATCTCGTGTTTGGAAGCAGGCATGAACTTGCAGGTAGCTTTTCCTGCCTCAATTCTCTTTCCACTCCAGTCAAGAGATAAAGAGATGTGAATTAGATGACAATATAATCAGATGGATTCAGAACTGTCTGGATAGAGGGACTCAAAGTAGTTTTACTGGTTCAGTGTCAATGTTCCAGGGGATCTTCATTGTTTGAGAAAGCCCAGGGGATCTGTATTTGGCCCTGTGAACTTTAATACTTTTATCAATGGCATGGATAAAGGCAGAGAGAGTACGCTCATTAATGTGTGACCTTTAAAGCAAATAGTAGAACCAGAAGCTAGATCAGAATGAAGAATACTGTGGGCTGGGAGTTTTCATAAGATCTATGCTCTAAAGCAGGAATTCTTAACCTAGAGTCCATAGACCCTCAAGAAATCCATGCACATATTTCAAAAGGTCTGGGAATTTGGATAAGGAAAAAATTCCATTTTTATTTTCACTAACCTCTGATAGTTAGCATTTCCTTCAATTATGACTGTGGGAACCAAACATTCTTCTGAGAAGGATCCTATAGAAGGTTTATGAGGTGTTCAGGGAGGACTAGCACCTCTGGTGTCAGGGATTGCCAAGACTTTTTCAGGGCTGCTCGTTTACCTTTACTGTCCACCTGCCACCCAACTCTCACCTGTGGCTCCAAGAAGCTGTAGCAATGCACAGTAAAACCATCTCACAGATGAGCTAAACAAGGCTAAGAGTAATCAACAGATCTCAAACTCATTGGTGACTTAGGGAATGTCTACCCCAAACATGTAAAAATTTTCCCTAGTGAAATGGGTGAATGAGAACAATTTGTTCCAATGGTCCTGATGGCAGCTGAAGCAGGGCACCGTGGAGCATTTAGAGCTTGGTCAGACATCAAAGATGCCAAAGTCACCCACTACATCCTGGGCCATTGCCAGTCATCTTGACTTTTGTCTTGCCACTGGACATCAATGACTTAGGAAGAGTGAGGTTGATGACTCTGTGCAACTCTGCCTCACTTAAATCCAAATCACACAAGTCAAGATGTCACCCGGGATATCATTGGTTCTCCTTGAAACAAAGGACAAACAGGGGCAGCTAGGTGGCGCAGTGGAAAGAGCACTGGCCCTGAAGTAAGGATTTTTTAAATTTTTAATTAAATTTTTTAATTAAATTAAAAATTAAATTTTTAATTAAATTTTTAAACCCCAAATTGCCTTTTAAAAAAAAAGAAAAGAAAAAACAAAGAACAACAGGCTTCATCAGATTGCCAAAAGGGGTCTATGTTAGAAGTTAGGTACTTCCACCCTAAAGGCAGAAGGATAAGTATGCTATGTAAAAAGATATGGGGGCAAGAAGGAGTTAGAGATTTTTGTCCATAAACAAGGAATGTACCCTTTACTACTTCTGGCTTACATAAGCTCTCAGTCTGTGGACTATTAGCTTAAGTTTGAAGTAGGTTTTGTTTTTGCTTGTTTGGTTTTTTTTGGCTAGGCAATGGGGGTTAAGTGACTTGCCCAGGGTCACAGTAAGTGTCAAGTGTCTGAGGCTGGATTTGAACCCAGGTCCTCCTGACTCCAGGATCGGTGCTCTATCCATGGTGCCACATCGCTGCCCCCTCCCCTATGCAGTTTAGTTAAATAACTCAGCCTATAAATTAGTTAACAACTCAGCTACCCTATGAGGGATAGAATAAGATTCCCTTTTCTCCCACTAATCTGTGCCAAAAAGTCAACCACTATAGATCTAATATTGTGTGAAGAGTTCACATAGCCAAGAGATAAATAATAAAATAGACAAAGATAACAACTACCTTATACAAGGACTTACAAACTAGTTGGAAAGATAAGATACACACATCTGAAACAACTGATAAATGAGTTCTGAATTGATGGTACTAGTAGTAGCTAGCATTTTATATAGCACTTTAAGATTTGCAAATTGCTTTACAAATATAATTTCATTTGATCTTCAGAACAACCCTCAGAGGTAGATGCTATTATCCTCCTCATTTTACAGATGAGATAGAATAAGTGATTTGACAGAGTCACATAGCTAGTAGGTAGGTGACTGAAGCCAAATTTGAATTCAGGTTCAGCATTTTAGCCAGTATGCCACCTAGCTGATAAATAAATAGTAACAACAACTAGAAAATAAGCTATATATTTATGAAAAAAAGGAACCTATGACTCAGAGCTAGAAATGCATTCCAACCCCAAAATTCTTAAAAGCATGTAGGAGGAAAACATTAAAAGTCCTATTTATGCTTACTATTACACTGCTGCCTAATATACTTTCAAAAGGCTCTAGTCAAGCCATTCACAAGGTATCCCTTTTAAACTTCATTCCTATGTCTCAAAGAGAGGTGACACCTAAAACATCTTGCAATTTCTAGAAATGTCAGCATAGGGTAACCAAAACTATGGACATAGGAAGCTTACCTTTTGCCAGACGTTCTAGACGTTTGCCATGTTCTGGAGGTATGGCATACCTAAAAGAAAAGGGGAGAGAAAAACCAGAAAACAGTGACTAACATTATTAGAGTAGCAATCTACGCCATTAATAGAAAGCAAAGCAAAGTCACTAAAAGGCTGTACTTTCAAAGTTGGAACCAGAGCTCCAATAAAAAGGAATATTCCTAATACTGTCCTCCATTCAGAGAATGACATACTGAAGCATAAAGTAAGCTCAAGTCAACTAGCTTCCTCAAGCCTTTGCAAATCTGCAGAGCTTTCAACCAGAGCTTAGTTTATTACACATTAACTAAAGGAACAAAACACTTCTGTAATGAGAAAGAAATTTAATTTGAAGATACAGAGTCACATTCAGAACATTATGGAAAGTGGAGGCTGGAAGGTAGTAAAGAAATGCCCTGCTAATGTCACATGCAAATGTCCCAGATGGGTTTAAATTTCAGGGATGAATTTGGACTTTTTTTCTGTTCCCATTAAGAAATGATACATTAGAGGTACAACACTAAAATTGCAAAGCAGAGAATACTAGGAAGTTCTAATTCTACCTTCCCATCCACAGACATCCATTACAAGGAAGAAACCTTAGCTGATATACAAATTCAATCTTCAAATGCAAAGATAGCAAGTACCCTTTACTAACACGAAACTAGAATTATTTGCCATTAATCTCAAGCCTTTCGAATTCTACTCCTTCCAAGAAAAGAGGATAGGGACAAATTAAGTTTCCCTGCACCCAAGCAAGAGCAATTAAACATATTATGTTTCCCAGTTTTCATGTGTTCCTTAGTCCAGGGTACAATCTTGTACCATACATCCTAAAAAAATGAGGCCATTTTTCCTATTTCACAGTAAGTAATTTAATAATAACAGGGGAGAATCTCAAATTTCATTTGTCAGAAATTAAACAATTTTTCCTCTTGAAACCTCACTTAGTGATGCAAGGAAAAAGAAAGAAAAGGACCATTACACAGAAGGTACTTCCAGACTTTAGAACCATTTAAGCCAATTTAAGTTGGGAGTTTTAAAAACAAAATAGAAAAAAATATCATGTAGTATTTGATCTCAGAGAATAGAAATTAATATATTTATGGACTCCGAGGTGCCCTGTGACCAAAGTAAAGGCAGGACCTTCAAATGTTTAATTATCAAACAATCCAATTCCACTTGTCTTGGAAAAATTCAGCAGTTATCCTTTGAAAGTAGCTATTTATCACTTACATAAAGATGATAAAAATTAATCTTGATCCAAAGCTCCTTTTTGGGATTAATGTCCCTTAAAATAGGGAAATGAAACATTCTGTTTCTTCTGGGAAAATGCTGAAGGATTGGGAAAGAACTAATTTATGGCTACAAGGCTGTTGATGATTAATGTAATATCGCTAGTCTACAATGATGCTTTCACTTAATTACTGCCTGTAATTGGGAGTTGTAAAGATAAGATTAATTGAATTTGGAGGATGTTAAAAGTTTAATACATTGGAACATGGTTCTTGTGTTATCTGAAACTACAGACTGCAAGAAGCCAAGCTGAGTGTTCAGAAGAAGAACCCCTGGAGAGATTAAAGTGGAGTTTGTTTGGCCAGGAAAGCTGGACAGCAGAACTGAAATCTACTGGTCTATAAGGCCATAAAAAGTCCATGAATAAAAACTACCTCGTCCTCAAATAACTACAAAATTACTATTTAACAAGGAGGGTTTTTTGTTCACCCTTGCAACTTTCTTTTGCAAAATAACATTAACCATACACAGTTAGCTAAAAGCCCTTTTAACTTTTTCTCATCACTTACCCCTCTCCAAACCTTCCAAAAATGCCACGCCATTGTGTAATCAAAGACACTAACAAGCATTTGTTAAGCTTTTACTATGGGAGCCAGTATGGCTAAAAGATGAGAAAGCCTGAGTTTAAGTCTCAACTCTGACTAAAAGCCTATGTGGCCCTAGTTAAGGCACATTTTAACATTCCAGCGTCACAGGTAACTCTAGGAGCAAGGTGAAGAACAAGTGCCAATCTGTACTGCCAAGGGTAGTTCCTCACTAGGAGCTTCCTATACTAATGAAGTCCTAAGTGAAAGATGTGGTCAGATGCACCAGACACCCAAGAGAGAAAAGACACTGAAGAGACAAAGGCAAAACAGTCTTTGTCCTCAAAGCACTTCCATTCTAACAGGGAAGCAACAAATATAAGGCAGACACAATGTAACCTTCCAGAAGCATACAAACCCAAAGTTTTGAGAAAGGCCGTGCCAGGGCAATAGCAGTAAGCAGTAAGCCAGGAACATGAAGAACAAAGACCTGGTGCCGATCAGAGACAGGAAACAGACAATGTAACACACAACATTTTTGTTTCTACCCGCCATGCTACCAATATGATACAGAAGAGGAATGGGATGAAGACAAGGCAAAGGCAATACTCTCCAACCACAGCACAGGAAAACTCTCACAAAAGAAGAAATGAGCCTCTTACTGTCTATTCTATAGCTTGACAAATTCAGGAGAGAATGTGGCCTCATGAGAAAACTCCATGGGTTTGGAGTTTAGAGTCTGGTTTGAATTCTAGCTTTACCTAACTGAATGATTGTAAACAAATTATTTAACTTTCATGAGTTTCAATTTCTACAAAATAAAATTATCGGACTACATTTTCTCTAAGGTCTCTTTTCAAGGTCTAAATCCTATGATTCTGCTCAAACTTTAAAGTTTAATTTCAAACATTAGCTCCTTGTGAACAACCTTTCCCTGTAAGACCTCATACTTCACTCTTCTGCACTTTTCTGTTATATTCAAAGTATCACCTATTATTTTCATATCATAATTGGCTATGTCTATGTCTTATCCTCTTAGATTGTGAGCTCCATGAGGTCACTTACTTAAACTTTCTATCTATGCCTATATATGCACAAGGTTTGGTAAACAGTAGACACTGGATTAAATGTCTTTGGAATGAACAAATGAAGAGCTAACTACCTGCAGAGGACCACACAATAACAACAAAGTTTCCTGCAGCAGTGACAGAATTGCACTTGGTACCTTCACCTCCATCCAAAATCATACTAGAAAAATTACAAACATCAAACAGACATTTGTTAGAGTTCTCTTGCTTTTTGAAACACTAAAACCAAGGAGAATTATAAAGTTGGTAAGGATGTTAAACAGTCATCTAATCCAACACAAAGAAATTGAAGTCCAGATTAATCACACAGGTAGTAAAAGTGGCAGAGCCAAGATTCAGACCAAGGTCCTATTCCACTGGTTGGCCTCCAGGAGGAAAACAGAAAGGAGAAAAATATCCAAAGTTCAAAATATTTGTTGTTAACTTAAAAAAAAATGTTTAAACCAAGCAAAACATGTAACCAGTTAATTGGCAACATATGTCCTTAAACTGTTATAAAACAAAATCAACAGCACCATTCAATATTTTTTTTCCAACTACCTACAAAAACTCACAACTTGGATGTCCCATCATGTCAGATATAAACTCATCAACATCCCTAACATCCTTCTGTCAGTGGTAATGCCATTCTCAAAGTCACTCAAGCTCAAAACCTCAAAAACATTTAGGCTTGTCTCTTATTCAAATTTATAAGAATAAGAGCCATTCCCCAATGGATAAACTGTGAAAGGATATAAACAAGAATTTTTCAAAGGAACATAATTTGAACTGCCTACAGTTATACAAAAAAGTCTACAAGCACTTATTCAGTGCTTACTATGTGCAAGACACTGTACTAAATGCTGGGTATAAAAAGAAATGAAAACACACAACCACACATACACAACCTAGTTCCAGTTCGGGTGTGAGTGTGTGTGTGTCTGTGTCTGTGTGTGTGTCTGTGTAGGGGGACTATCATGCAAATAACTTACGTACAAACAAGACATACAGGTTATGTTGGAGATCACCTCAGATGGAAGGCATTAAGATTAAGGAGGACTTAGAAAGGCTTGTTGCAGAAAGTGGAACTTGAAGGAAGCCAGGACAGCTTCAGGAGGTAGAGATGAGGAGGGAGAGAGTTCTAGTCCTCAGGGTCAGCCAATGAAAACATTTATAATATTTATATAATATATAATATTTATAGCAGTTCTTCTTGTAGTAACAAAATTAAAAACTAAGCAGGTGACTATCAAATGAGGAATGGATGAACAAAATGCGTTGTATGAATGTAATGGAATAATGAAAGGAACAGCTTCAGTGAAACATGTCACTAGACTTTATGTATGAACTGAGGGGGAGTGAAATTAACAGAACATGGAGAACAACTGATATGATAATAAAACCACAAAAACAAATTTGAAAACCCTAAAAACTCTGATCATTGAACTGATCAAGCAATAGAATTCCAAGACTAATAATGAAGCATGTTATCCACCTCTTGAAAGAGAGGAGATGAATTCAGGGAACAGAATGAGATATATTATTTGGATATAGCAGTGCAGGAACTGTTTTGTTTGATTATACATATTTGTATATGTATATTTTTTTCTCTCTCTCCCAATGAGAAGTAGGGTGAGAGAGAGAAAATGGATTTTTAACTGAAAAATAATATATATATATATTTTTTAAAGTGGCCCTTTCTTGTCAAGGCCAACCCTTTTACATATAGCTTGATATCTTTCCTTCTTGGCTATTGTATTATTACCTACTATTATCTTAATCACCTTCTCAGTTTCTCCTCCTGGATACTGGCTCTGCTCTGGATTTTTTCAATACTGCTCTCTCTTGGTTTTCCTACCTAACAGCTTCTTAGTCACCTTTATTGGTTCTTATCCATATGAGGCCAGCACTAACTATTACACTACCTCACATACTAAATGTTTAATAAATGCTTGCTGTTTGATTTCATTACAGAATAGCCTGGCTGCGTATGGCTAAAAATATTTTGTCAAAGGAAAGGTACAAGTGGGAACAAAGAAGCACTTCTTAATTGGTGGTAATTACACAGTTAATTTATGAGGGCTTCCTTTTTTAATTTATAGGTTTTTTGATGACTTTTTAGACTTCAAGGCTCTGTCCGTCCCCTAC